TTAGTATTTTAAGAAACATAGTTGATGTTTTCAAAAATGTAGTTAATGTATCCAGCAAGCCAGAATTGGCCCAGGTAAAAAGTGGAATTTCTTGATGCTCCAGATTTTTAATATGTAGGCACCTGATTTGCATATTCATTTAACCATGGACCACTGTCTCTTGCTTGTACCTCTGGCTGACTAAATTTGGGGACAGATTCAGTCTTGCCTTACACAAAGGGGATCATAAAGTTAGAATCTATTTTCTATGTACTAGTACTGTGTACTGTATAGTTTGTAAATGTTATTTCTGCAAACACCTTCTTATAATTATATATAATATATATATACATATATATATATGTTTGATCACACTATTTTAGAGTCTTAATGCCAAGTCAGCAGATTTGCTTTATGAATTACAGGGACTAGCCTTCAGGAAATTTGTAATATCGTCTAGACACCTATCCCCATTCTAGTAGAAAGTCTGTACATACTGTAAATACGTGATTGCCTGACTTGAAGAGGTTTGATTTCTGAATGTTTTACCATCCTTGTAAGTTTATAATTTTGACCATAAATTATGGTATAAATATAACCAAACTCCAAAGGTTGTTCTAATCCATGCAGTTCACACTGATTGTGACACACACATTCTTAGTAGCTAGTGTCTTATGTCACTGCACTGGAGTTTACGAGCCGGACCTCCGTATGCAAGTGCGTCTGTGTGTACGAGTGTGTAAGAGTGACTGAGATGGAGCTGAGTGCTCAAGACTCGAGACTGATATACTTAGAATTCTACCCACCTGGCTTTGTATTTAATTGTGCTACGTGTTGCTTTGAGAATCTATTGAGCAGTCAGGGAATGTGAGGAAGCTTGCTGCCAAAGGTGACTAGGAAGGCATTCATCCGCTGGCTCCTTGTTTTTGCTCCTAGAGAGGAGAAATACAGGCAACTTTTAACTGTGAGTGTTTCACTGGAAATGTACAATCTTTGTGTGTTTGAGTATTTGTTTTAGTAAGAAATGTTTACACAGCTTGTAGAATTATTTCGTGGGAAAATAAATTTTTCTAACTTCTCCCACCTCCTCCTTTTCTAACCTTGCCTATGGTTCCTGCTGTTTATCTCCTTTCAGTTTCCCCCTTCATTCCATTCCCTGCCGCCAACTCCCAACAGTTTCGCTGTCCATCAAAACCTAGAAGTGCTTCTTATAACCAAAGTTTCTGCTCTTCAGAAGTAATCAGGGCAAAAGGTGACTTGAAGTGAACAAAATGTTAAGAATATCTTCCTCCATTAGACATCTACTCTGAAGGGGAACCCAGAAGATACTATTCTCCATGCCTCAATGAAAGCACCGTAAGCAGCTCACAATGTGGTTGTCACGCTAAAGGCTAAAACCACCTTCTCCTTGTCACTATGTGTACATTTTGTCCAGTCATGACTGGACAGGTAAGACAGTATTAGGTGTGCAAGTACCCAGCACCTGAAGTTTGTCCCTGGAAAATGCCGAGCTATAACTGCCTAACTTCAGATCTGTACATTATGAAATTATTTTGTTAAATAAGTTCATCTATTTTTGTTTTGCTTCTTTGATTATTCCAGGTTCTTGCCAAAAATTCTGGGACCTTTCTAAGTAAAACTGTTTCACATTTAACTCCTTATTTCCCTTCCCCTGCAAGAAAACTCAGTTTTAAAAACGAGTTACATTTGAAGGGTTTTATCAGCTAATAGAAGGAACATTTTCCTCAGAATCTTTTTGTTAATTAGCTCTGTACTGTTGACAAATTTATTTATTGAATATAAAAACAGTAGTCATAATATATACATTTTTGATGTAAAATATTCGTATCATTGGGAAACCATATTCCAGTTAAAGTTAACTTGTATAAAATATTTCTGAAAACTTGCATCCCAATTAATGACTTTGGGATATTTAAAACTCTTGAAGTATAACTGGTATTTATCTTACTTGCTGCTACCACTAATCCCTTTCAAAGAGTCATGCTAACAGATTCCAGTTTTAAAACTTTTTACCTGGAGTCTTAATTTTTCACTTTACTGTGAAACATACTAGTCCAAATCAGAGTATTCTTCAAAAAACTATATTGCAGGATTTGACTCTGAGCATCTGTACGTGAAAACTGTACAGCAGGCATATGTGTGAACAGTGTGTACTCAATTTGTAAATGAAGAAATAATCCCAAGGGGAATGGGAGATTTTACGGACTTGTGGAATGTAAAATTAGTCTTTTCACTCAGCAAAGGCTTAACCTTAACCTACTCAGTTGTAGACTCATGATCTTTGTAGTCAACCTAGAAAATGCTGGAAATGGAACTGTTCTTAATAGTTCTGTGTTTTATTGTCAAACCCACTTAAGTTTTTCCTATGCTCTTTCTCTACTGCTCATTTAAGTTACTGTTACAAAAAGGTGCTGCTAAATGTAGGATGTCTTAGTCATATTGTACTTTGGGACCATGCCACATTTTTTAACATGGTCTGCTATGCATTCCTGTTAAACATCCACTGTCAGCTACACTGAACTGTTCAACAAATCTGGTTTAAAGTCATTCATATAAAACAAATAAAGAGCTGGCTTTCTGCACTGTTTATTAGTAGTAGTATTAATTGCCATTTTAGGAATGATTCTTATAGTTGAGAATATGTCAAATTTTCAACAGCACTTCTCACGGTGGAGCATCTTTCTTAAGGGCAATGCTAATCCCTAAGATTACTTTAGTGATTTCCCATTATGTCTGATAAAATGCTAGTTTACAGAAGGTAAAGATCTTTTAAAATAGGAGCCGAGTAAGCTTTCTCCCACCTTAATTCACTATGTGTGGCAATTCTTGATTCAGATTTTTTTTTTATTCTTCCTTCATAAAATGAAGATCCATCTTGATGACAAATTTAAATCCTCACCCTTATCCCCCCCTTTGCTCAATGATACAATGCTGCTAGTCTTGGATACTCTCATCTTATTAGTAATATATCAAGAGTCACATAGAGAAAATAGGTAACTAGATTCTAGGCCAGTTATTTAATTCTGGCTATATTATATTTATACTTCACCTTACTATTTAAAGTAAAATGTGGCACAGGGTTTTGAAGTAAAATGTACTCACTGTTAAATTGGAATTTTTTGTTTGTTTGTTTCACAGAAATATCTATGTTAACCCTGAAATATGTTGAAAGAATATATTCTTTTCCTCCACATTTCCCAGATTTTTTTCCCTTTTTATTCTACTTTTTCTTAACTTTGTGTCCCTTAAGATTGTGTCTTATTTTCCAATTTGCCCCATTTTTGGAAGGAATGAAACCCACTGAAAAGGTCTTTGTCAAAGCCAACATTTTTGAAATTATTCTTTGTCCTCCTGTTCTTAATATGCAAATATTTTTCTTTTGTTTTGCCTGCATCGCTTGTATTTTGCTATTTGTCAGTATCAATCAACAGTTTACATGTCTACTGCTCGTCTCCCTGTCTACGATTTTCAGCTGAGCACGTAAGGCTTGGCAGAGAGCATGAGAAGACGTGCATTTTTTAAAACAAAGTTTGGAGAAATGTGCAGAGCCCTAGAAACGGAATTACATAGGTCAACAGTGCTTCTCTTTAGTCCAAGAACATCTACTGGATAAAAAGGCAGAATGAGGGACATAAAGAAGTCAGTCACATAGTTGAATCTTTTGGAGCGTGAAATATCTTGTCCCTCATTCAATAAGCATGTATTGATGATCTGCTCTAAAGCAGTGAGAGAAAAGACAGGGTTCCTGCCTCCAAGACTTTCCGGGGCCTGGGGGGAGGGAGGGGTAAGGAGCATGCCTTTTAAACTAAGAGTGAGTGTGTTCAGTGCCACGAGGGCAGCAGAAGTGGTTCCTAGGGGGTGTATGGAAAGACAGAAATGCCTAAGCCAACCTCCGCGAAGGATGTTCAAGAAAGGCTTCTTCAAAGAAGAGGCCTGCTAAAGATCTTACCTGATCCAAGAGACCTTGCCATCTTGATGGACACAACAGTCAGGAGAAATTCCTAATAGAAACCTTGGAGGAAAAAAAAAAAGAAACTTAGGCAATTGTTCCCAACTGTCCACCTTATTTATATACCCGAGGCTGAGAAACTCGGGGGTGATCCAAATGAAAGTTAAAACATTTAAATGTATTTAACACTATAGGAGACAGCCTTTAAACTGGGCTGGGTATTGAGTATTTTAACGTCTTATCTAAAAAGCGGTAGGATGAAGCAAGCCTAAGGTTATAATTTTTAATAAAAGCAGTCACATGTTGGCCGCTAACAGTGGGATGTTTGGTCACTTTTGCAGTTAAGGGGATGTTTGTATTTTTTGTTGGATTCTAGATTTTGATTATGAAGTGGTCTTTTATTGTTGTGATGTACTATATTCACAGTTGCTTTGTCTGATGTTGGTGTTCAGTGAATTTGTTTATGTTCAAGAGAACACCAAGGTGTAAGTGCCAAGACAGTTCCCAGCTACCAGAAGCTGGTTTTTTCCATCTCCCCAGTGATATCACATTAACTTGTATAATAGGTGTTCCGATGGATGATGAAAGGTACCCAAATTGTGGAATATTCTCATAATTTTAATGTACAGAGTGAAGAAAGTATTTGTTTTGGGTTTTTAAAAGCATGAAAAAAGTAAACTTGGTAAAGGCACACTACCATTTAGGAGAGATCTAGACTTCATTTGAAAGAGTTGATTTAAGGGGCACCTGGATGGCTCAGTTGGTTAAGCATCCAACTCCTGGTTTCAAGCTCAGGGTCGTTGAGATCGAGCCCAGTGTTGTGCTCTGTGCTCAGCACGGAGTCTGCTTGAGATTCTCTCTCCCTCTCCCTTAACCCCTCTCACTCACGCTCTCTAATAAATCAATAAATCTTAAAAAAAAAAAAAAAAAGTTGATTTATCAAATAGTAAACAGAAAAACTCTGATAAAATGCTCAACTCAGTTATGGGTACATGGAAAACAGAGTTCCCATACCCTGAATTCTTAGGGAACTACTTTAGGAACTCAAGAACATTTTTTACCAAATTAAATATTGCTCATTTTATTCCTTTGTTATAATCACACATTTTAACATTAAAAATGACTTACATTATTTACACATTAAAACACAAAACCCCAAATGAAAATATGCTCCAGATATCCGCAGGCACCTCCTTTTCCTTTTACTGTGCTAAATCCTTAAGAAAAAAATTATTTAAAAAACACAGAATATAATCTCATACCACCCCCAACTACTTCTTCCATGAAGTAGAGTCTCTTGGTCAAATCTCTTGGTCCCTGGTCCAACTGCTGACAGTCTTTTCTGCTTCCTTAGCAACTATGCCATCCATCACCAGACCCGACAACAGCTGGGTAAAAAAAAAAACATACAGCAAACGTTCGCAATTTTCATTTCTAAGGATCCTTCTATGTGCTTTTGCATTTTATGAATTTTGCAATAAAAAACCCTATACAATCCTTATTTGCCAGCCAAATCATGTCTTCTATTCTGGCATCTCTGAGGGAATCAATGTCAGTGTCCCGTAATGGCACGACAGATGGATCAAATCGCTGCAGCTGTTTCAATTGTTCCAGTGAGAGGCCAGCTCCCATCATTCCTTCTCCTCCAATCTGTGGTTCCTGTTCAGAGAAAATGAGAAGATGTGAACATCCTATCATTGGTAAGTGTGCCTGCATACAATTTAAGTTAAAAGACAAAACTGAGGTATAAGTACCACCAATTCCAAAAATAGACAAATGGTATCTCTGTGGAATGGACATGCAGTTTTTCTGGGTAGTAATATATGGTCATCTGATGACTGAGTATCTATTATGACCCATATGCTCATCAAAAACTGCAGCTTTACCACATTTTTGCTGTGTGATCTTAAGTAACTTTACCTAACTGTTTCCTCATCTATAAAACAGATAAAATACTTAGTTCTAAGACTTTATTTAACAAGGTGGTAGTCTGCCTGGCATATAGTGATCACTCAGTAAGTGGATCATTTTTATCAATAACAGCAATAAAAGAAAATTCAGCTTTATTATCACACTCCCCAAAGCTGATGGGAGTTCCTCAGGCACCTAAAGGTGACTTTCTCTGACCCATACCAACTGGATGATAAAAAATTCCTATTGTTGTTTTTGAATGTACTAGAACAAATATTAGAGATAAACTAAGGCTGCGTCAATTAGTTTAGAATACAGAATCATAAGGAATTGAGTGATATGTCTGAACCACGACTGCACAAGTTCCATAATCCTAAATCAAGTCAACACTGCATAATTGTTATGTTTAATACTTATGTATTATTAACCTACTGTTTATTAATCCATGGGGGGGAATTTCTATCTCTTTTAGCTATAATTGAATGTATATGTATATATTGAGTGTATATGCATATGTACACACACACACACACACACACACACACACATAAAATTCAAGTGAATTCTGAAGTCTTCCTTTCCTCTACAATGCAATTACCTTCCTTTCTGAGTCTAGAAACCATCTCTGGATTGCTTTTTATTCATATATTCCAATTAACTAGAATTCTGTACAGGAGGGTACTGAAGTTAGATATTCAATGTATCTAACTGAATGTGAGCATTATTACAGATTTACACTTCATCCCAAACATCATGGGTTAAAAATATAGTCATAATATACTTTGACAAAAACCAGGACAGGTGAAATAAAGTATAAGAAAGCTTTTTAAATGTTAGATATTTTATGTCAGAAGCCATAAAGAAGCAATATTACTGAACCATTTGTCCCCCCTTGGCTAGCCCTGATGTGACTTGCGAAAAAATGGTGAACATACTCCATACCAGCACAATCTAGGAGTAGGAGGGGAAAAGAACCAACAACTTTTTAGAAAAAAAAGTTCTGAGTAACATAAACAAGAGCCACAAGTGAAAGAAGTATGTAACACAGGTACACCTGGGCTCTGTGGCATTTTAACACAACGGCAAGGAACGAAAACAGAGAAAAACTTCGTTAGGATGTGGAAATTCTCTCCGGACAGTCTAAAACAGATCTCATTAGAGAAGCATTCTTGTTTACTGCAGTATTTGTTTCCGAAGTTTTGCTTGACATAGTTCTTCCTATAACAACCTTGTGTTTATCCCCACACTCAGGTTTCTGTAATTTGTCAGATTACACAGAGAAAACTGAAATTATTCTTACCTGGGGCTGAAGCTGAAGGTAAGGAAATGTTCTGAGGGCCCAGGCAACCTGTTCTTCGTTTTCTGCCAGTGTGATGGTGCATGTGCTATAAACCAGCACGCCCCCCGGCTTCAGCAGCTCAACTGCCTAAAGAAACATGATCAGACTCTGTGTATCACAAGGCAAAAGCAACATTTTATGGGATTTTAGAATGAGAGGATACCACCTTTCAAGTGTTTGGGATAAATGTTCCAGATGACCAAGATTTGTTTTCTAATTAGAGTGTTCCAGACTAGGTACATTTCACTATCTTGGAGCTGTTATAATCCATTTAAACCAAGACTTTCCTGAAAATATTCATTCAGTTTCACTGCTTTAGATACCACTTTTTGTGTCCAAAACTCACACATGCACACTTTTTAAGCCATACTCCTTTCTGAACTCTGTACTCATGTATTCACTTGCCTTCTCCATATGTCTGCTATCAAATTCGACAGGTCCCAAAGTGAACACCTATCTTCCCTCTGAGACCTATTAGAGATGTGCTATTTTCAGGCCCCAAACCTGATACTGTCTTTTATGCCTCCCTTTCTCTCACACTCCCCATCCATTAGCAAATTCCACTGGCTCTTCCTTTAAAATCTATCCAGAATTTGGCTCCTTCCACTGCTATCATCCTGGTCCAAGCCCCACTGTCTTTGGCCTGGATTACTGCAGCCTCCCTCTTAGTCCACCTGCTTGTCTGCCCTCCTATAACCTCTTCTCCATACAGCTGCCCGAGTGGTGTTTTTAAAAACTTGTCACTTCTCCACGCAAAACCCTTCAAATGCCCTGACTTATAACTCGGAGCCGAAGCCCAAGTCCTTACAGGGGTTTTCCAGGCCCTACCTAGAGCAGGCCTCTGGCTGCGCTTCTGACCTCACCTCACACATCTCGCTTACTCTGCTTTAGCAACACCGGCCTCTGCTGTCTTGGAGTACACACAGCACACTCCCGCCTCAGAAGTGGCGCACAAGCTTGGAAACTCTAATTCTCTGCACTGCTTCTTCACAATCTTATCTTTGGGTCTCTGCTGCCTTTCCAGCACCTGACCATCCCACGTAACACTACAACCATTCAAAGCCAGCACTCCTATCCTCCCTTCTTTAGTTTGCTCCACAGGGTTACTGCTCTGTTACTGTTACTATACTTAATAACTTAATTCATCTTATTTTCCTCCCCAATTAGAATAGACACTCCATGAATAAGGCAGGGATTGTTATTTTTTTCACTACTATATTGATAAACACCCAGAATAGCATATATTACATTATGGTTAGGTGTTCAACGAAAATCTGTCCAGTAAGTAAGTGAATCAGGAAACTGATATTACAAGAAAATGAGTTTTTCCCAAATAACTAAGAGTTTATCTTTTTTTAAGATTTATTATTTTTTTATTTATTTGTCAGAGACAGAGCACGCATAAGCAGGGGGAGTGGGAGGCAGAGAGAGAAGCAGGCTCCCCGCTGAGCAGGGAACCCAACGTGGGACTCAATCCCAGGACCCTGGAATCATGACCCGAGCCAAAGGCAGACGCTCAACTGACTGAGCCACCCAGGCGTCCCTAAGAATTTATCTTTTCAAACTCCCAGATATTTAAAAACATTTTAAAGAAAATCTTTAAAATATATACTATACATAGTATACTATTATACACACACACACATGTTATATAGTATATAGAAGTATATAAAACTATATAATATATAGCATACCATATATACTACATATAGTATATTTTTATTATATATAGTATATATTTGTGCTTTAACTAGAGTAGGCTGGTCAAAATATAAACTGTTACTGTGTGCCAGTTATTGTTGTAAGCATTTTACATGGATTTTCTCAATTTACTTATAACCATGAGGTATGGTTACTACTGCCAATGAGGTGAACCTATTAAGTAGACTTATAATCCCCATTTCTCATATATGGAAACCAATGTACCTAAAGTCAATTATGTGGAAGAAGCACAGCTCCAAACAAGATGTGTGTGATTATAAAGTCCACAGTCTCAGCTAATACCTCAGTGCTAAATGGCAAACCTGCTATATTCTAAATTCTCTTTTGTACACAGTCAGCTGTTCCTCTTCATTGCGATCACTGCAACTACTCCTAAGTAGCCTTTTAAAATTTTCTTTCTGCTAGGACCTAAAAAGAACAAAAAGCCCAGTCTTTTAAATTTTTTTTTTTTTTAAAGATTTTACTCATTTGTGAGAGAGAGAGAGCGCGCGCGTGCACACATGTGCAAGCAGGGGAAACAGCAGAGGGAGAGGGAGAAGCAGGCTCTCTGCTGAGCAGGGAGCCCAATGTGGTGCTTGATCCCAGGACCCCAGGACCTGAGCTGAAGGCAGACGCTTAACCGACTGAGCCACCCAGGCATCCCAAAAAGCCCAGTCTTTTAAAACAGTGTCCTGGGGTGCCTGGCTGGTGCAGTTGTTAAGCGTCTGACTCTCGGTTTCAGCTCAGGTTGTGATCTCAGATGTTGGACTCCGTGCTCAGCGTGGAGTCTGCTTGAGTTTCTTTCTCCTTCTGTCTCTACCTCTCCCCCCTGCTCCCCAATTTCTGTCTCTCTCTAAAATAATAAATAAATGTTTAATGAAACAGTGTCCTAATTTTACTCTCAAGTCAAAGTGGGTTTCAGCTAGAGGTAAAGCTTCCTTTTTTTTTGCTGTTCGCTTCTAGGTTGTGTTCTTTGAAGACAGTACAGAAGAAGAAATAGTTAAATAATCTACTACCAGCGCATCCTTTGTGTATAACAGAAGATACCAGACAGATAAGCAGAAATGTACTCAAAGACAACTTTAGAGACTGAATAATTACAGTGCATCCATTATTGCTGAAGCTTATATACTTAGAATTACAGGGCTGAGGGGAACTGATGAAGTCATTTTTGGTCAAATGCTGTCTACGTTCTGTGCAATCCACGTAATCATTTGTGCAAGCCTGAAAGAATTCCTCAAATGTTCTATTTGGGCTTCTCCTGAAACATGCTAGACACCAGTTAAATTGGCAAAGTTTTTACGGTTCTTCTATATCCTATACTGAATAGTCCCTTCTCCTTTTTATCAGTGTGCTTCCCTCCCCTGGACTTCCTGCTTCTCATATGCTAAGATGATCCATAAACCCTATAAAAAAAAAAAAAGAATAATTTATTTTATATCCCATTCCTTACACATCAGTTCTTAACTATGATGTTAACGGCTCGGGGACTTCTTTAAGACATATCAGAATACTGGGAAGTCACTGAATGTCTGTCTCAGTGAGGAAATCCTGCTACTGCTTTTAAATGAAAGAGTGATCAACATAAATAAAAGCTTCTTGTATTTAAAACTAGGTTTTCTCTGTCCTTTTCTGTATGATAAAATAAACATAAAATTTGCCATCATTACCACTTGTAAGCGTACAATTCGGTGGCATTAAGTACATTCACGCCGGCATGCAGACATCGCTACCACTCATCTCTAGAGCTCTTCATCTTCCCAAACTCAAACTCTGTACCCAGGAAACACTAAATCCCCATTCTCCCGCCCCTCCAGCCTCTGGTGACCTCTATTCTACTTTCTGTCTCTACCAATGCTCCTATTCTAGTTACCTTATATAAATGCAAACAGACAATATAGGTCTTTCTGTGTCTGGCTTCTATCACTTGGCAGAATGTTCCCAAAGTTCATTCACGTTGTAGCAGAATTTGCTTATCCATTCACCTGTTGATGGACCTATTGATGGGCTGTTTCCACATTTTGGTTATTGTGAAAAATGCTGCTTTGAACACTGCTCTCGGTCTCTGTAACATCAAACTATGAAGGTCAACTTTCTTTCACATCAAAGTATCATCACATACCACAGTGAAGAGTTTTCTCTGTAACGGCTGATATGATGTCACTTCTTTCAAAGTCCAAGAACAAACCATGTTTGGTCTCTGTCCCATTCCACTGCATGGTGCATCAAGAAGAATTCGGTCAAAAGATTCTGGTAAGAATGGAGGTTTTCCTATGAAGAGAATTATAAACATAGTTTGGTATCTGCCTACTGGTCTAGAATAGAAAACTCCTGAGATAGAAACAATTATCAGGAATTTAAAATCATAATCTAGACTACAAAGAAAAACAATTTCTCCTTTCAAGTAGCTGATAAAACTAATTCCGACATATGCAAAATGGTTAAAAATGTGATTATTATAATTGAGAGTTATTCTGTTGACACTGTACAAATCATGGCCTAATCAAATGAAACTCTGAATCCCCAGTGTCAGGAGCCATACTTTATCAGAGCTAGAACCTGGAATTAATTCTAGTCATCCTGAGAGCTGACACTTCTCTTGGCAATCCCTACTGCAGACAGCCCCAGAAAGGAAGAGTACCTGTTAGGTTCTGGTCAAATCTACTGGTTCTGAGGTTCCTCACTCTCCTTGCTTCTGGGCCATCAGCAAGGCTATGCTCTAGAGTAAGTCAGTATCTCCCTGCATCCAATCTTCCACAGGTTTCCCTTTGCATTCACTTGAATAACTTTCCACTAACTTTTGAGCTGTTTAAGTGTTACTGGACAAAGTCATGAAACCAAACAGTCTGCTTACATATTTATGCTAACTGCAAGCAAGACATTGCTGCTGACTGCTTCCATAGGAAGCCAGTTGATTGTCTACAGTAACCACAGCAATGTTCTGACTATCACACCAAAATAACCTGCTTTTCTCTGACTGCAAAACTGTCAGACAGGAGCTCTTGCCAATTTAACTTATCTCTGTCTAAAACCATCCTTGCTTTCTTACCTGCGGTCTCAGAATATCTTCTCAAAGTAAACAGTTATTTTTAAGGTTTTTGATACATACTGAAAAAATGCTCTAGAAAGACTATACCAATTTCCATTTCCATTGTGATTATACTTATTCTCCCCAAATCTTCAAAGGATTATTATTTTTATTATTATTATTGTTTTATCGGCCATTTGTATTTTTTCTTTATATAGTCACATTCTTTGTTTGGTCCTTTTCCTACTAAGACTCTTGTCTTTCTTTTTTAACATTTAATTTATTTATTTATTTGAGAGAGAGCATGCACAACAGGAGGAGAGGCAAAAGGAGAAGCAGACTCCCCGAGGAGTAGGGAGCCCCCCATGCGGGGCTCGATCCCAGGACCAGGAGATCATGACTGGGCCGAAAGCAGATGTTTAACCGACTAAGCCACCGAGGCGCCCCCGTTATCTTTCTCTTATTGATTAGAAGAGCTACAGGGGTAGTAGCTGCTTTCTGCAGTGATTAGCTCTAGGATGCCTCGGTGATCTTTGCTTTTCCAGCTCTTCAACATCTATTTCACAGATTCCTTACACTACTTATTTATACTGAATTGTCTCTCTTTAGTATAAATTTATAATGAATTCTTTCTGTTGAAATACCTTGTATACTTTTTTTAATCCTGTGGCCAAATTCTCCCAAAACACAGCTCTCAGCCAGTTATTCATTTCCCTTTAACAAAGTAAAACAAAACCAAAAACTATTCCCACAGCTACCTAAATCTCTGGAATCAACTCCTGAGACTAATATAGACCATTAACAATGAATAATCTGGCCTCATCCAGATTGTTCTCCAGCCCCATTTCTCAGTACTCCCCCATATTCACCAATATTAAAAACAAACCAACCCACATCACCACTTTGTTACCCAAAAATGTCATGAACTTTCCTATTTCCATGCTTCTACTAATTCTATTCACCTGAGAAGCCCCCTGCATTCATTTCCATTTGTCAAAATGCTGTCTACCCTTTCAAGGCCTAACAAATGCCACCTCCTCACCTAAATGCTTTTTCCATCATCCCTCTAAGAAGTAATCCTTCCCTCCGAGTTCCCACAGCATTTGTGTCTTTTGGATGTACGGTAGTTTTTTTTTTTTTTTTTTAATTTATTTATTTGAGAGACAGAGAGCATAAGCACATGGCAGGGAGGGGTAGAGGGAGAGGGAGAGAGAATCTGGAGCAGACTTCATGCTGAGCACGGAACCCAATGTGGAGCTCCATCTCCCAACCCTGAGATTATGAGCTGAACGGAAACTGAGTCGGACGCTTAAATGCACCACTCAGGCACCCTGGCTGTATAGTCTTATAGTCCTTAGTGTTCATGTCTTACTTCCCCCCAGGCACTGACAATTCCTTAAAAATATCTGCAAGCCCACAAGATACCTTTGTGTGAACTAGGATTAAGCTATCTGCACCTCAGGATTCACATAGTCCTGCCCCATGATAAACACAGCACAGGTTGGAATTCAGCCCCTCAACATATCCCTCAGCCAGGTGCCCTTGGACAGAGCATAACCATAGGCCACTGAACTGTTAAGAAGTACCATTTTCATAAAAGGTAGTGGATAATTATACAGAAATTGAGAAATTCATAAAAATGTTCTAAACGTATCTAAAATCAGACCAAGATCACCAAATGGCCCCCAAATGTACCTGGTCCAAGAGAAATTTCTCTTGTTCAAAACTAGAAAGCCACGGAATGAACATTTAAGGCTAATACATTGTATAAGAGTACCCAACTTTTTACTTATGCAAACCTTTTTCTCTTAATATATAATCTCACAACTACCTTTAGTGATTTCTAAAACTGCATTAGTTTGGAGTGTTGTTTAATTAAGGAGCAATTTTATGATACAAATAACGAGACTGAGACAACTTTTGGAATGAGGGTATGCAGATCTTCTCCCTAGTGAAACAACTGGTAAAAATTACAACAAAAACAAAAACCACCATTTAAAGTCTCTAGAAAATGTCCAGGATATATATCAAATGAAGAAACTTATTAAAGAAAATCTAAAAAATGTGAGTATCTGTGGTATCTGAGCCACAATCTGTTCCTTCCTTTGCCCCAACAGCCTCTTCCCTTAAGCTCAGAGTAAAAAGTGATCCACTTCATGTGGGTGCAGCGAAGAACACATAGCTGCCTCTCTCCCTACACTCCTAGGCAAGAAATATGGTAATTCACTGCAAGTGACAGGTCAACAAGGGTACCAAGACAATTCAACAAAGCAAAACATTTTTCAACAAAAGGTGCTAGGGCAACTGAGTATCTGTGGGAAGAATCAAAATCAAGTTGGATTCTTTCCTCACACCATAAACAAAAATTATTTCACAACGGATTCTAGATCTAGATGTAAGAACTAAAATTATAAAATTCTTACAGATACCAAAACACAAATAACAAAAGAAAAGATAGGTAAAGTGGACAAAAAATTAAAAACTTTTGAGCTTCAGAGAACATCAAGAAAGTGAATGGACAACTCACAGAATGGGAGAAAATATTTATAAATCCTATGTCTAATAGAAGACTTTTATCTGGAATATATAAAGAATTCTCAAAACTCAAAACATAAAAAGACAACCCATTTTAAAAATGGGCAAAGGATCGGACTAGACAAGGAGATATAACATGTCCAACAAGCACATGAAAACATGCTCAACATGTTAGCCATCAGGGAAACCTGCAACAGAGAAACATATCAAAACCAGGAGATAGTATTCCACATCCACCAAGAGGCTATAATCAAAGGGACAGATGCTGGTGAGGATGTGAAGAAACTGAAACCTTCATATACTGCAGCTGAAAATGCAAAATGATCCAGCTGCTTTGTAAAACAGACTGGCAGTTCTGCAGAAAGTTAAATGTCAACTTCCCGTATGATCCAGAAATGCCACTTGCAGGTAAATGCTCAAGAGAAATGAAACCTATGTCCACACAAATGTGTACACAAATGTTCACAGCAACATTATTCATAACAGCCAAAAAAGGGTAAACAACCCAAATGTCTACCAAATGATGACCGGATAATTACCTGTGCAGTGGAATATTGTTCATCCATGAAAAGGAATGAAGTACAGAGACATACCACAACATGGATAAACCATAAAAACAATACAGTAAATGAAACCAGTCACAAAAGCCCACATACTGTATGATTTCATTTATATGAAATATCCAGAACAGGCCAATCTACAGAGACAGAATGTAGATTAAGAGTTGACTAAGCCTGGGGGGTGGAAGTGTAAAGAAAAAGGGAGTTGAATGTTAATGGGTATGAGGTTTCTTTTCAGGGTAATGAAATTGTTCAAAAATTAGATTGTGATGATGGCTGCGGAACTCTGAATAAAAAAACTTAGTGAACCGTAAACTTTAAATGTGTGAATTGTATGGTACATGAAGTATATACTGATACACAACAAAGCTGTTAAAAAAAAGTGAGGTCAGATTATTAAAGATTACAAATTTTCATTCTAAAGCAATCTTTACTATTCATCCCATATGAAGAAAAACCATTATTTTTTCCCCATTTAACAAATAATACAGGTGGATTAATTTAAAATTAGGTAAGAAAAAAGAGTAATCTTTCAAAAAATCTCTAATATGACATAAATGTTTCCTTTGGCATCAAGAAGAAAAACTGCTTTCCGGAATGATTTTTAGTACTTACCTTATATATTAAAAAACAACTGGTTTCTTTTTATAAATTGTATTTATGAGGGAAAAGATAAGATTCAGGCCAGTCCTTACAAGTAACTATAACATTAAAGGTGTGGATAATCTTTATTCCTAATAAATGAAAGCCAAACTGAATACACTTCTTAAAGAGTTCAAACTGAGTATTTTCTCTTTTTAGTTTTTTTTTTTTTTTTTTGGTATTACAATCACCTTGCTATGTTATGTAAAACTTTTAATCATATTAATTCAATTTACAGAACAGGTGAAAAATCACCCTGAAGTAAATTGGCAGAATTACTGTTTTTGTGCTCTTTCATTTTCCAAGCCAGTATTTATTCTTTCTGTGTCCAGCTAACAATCTATTGTGCATATAAATTAAAAATTTATAGCTAAGCATACAAATAATTTAAAACTGAAAAAAAAATTATGTCTTCCAAAGATGGCTATGACAATACCTCCCATCCCACATGCCCTTCAATTTGACATTGACTCTTCTCCCACAGGAGATGGGGTCTGATGTTCCTT